ATAATTTAAAAACCAATACATCAAAACAAGGTTAATTATGTAGAATAACACGTGAACTGATATGCTTTTCTTTTTACTATGAGGTTGAACAATAAAGTTTTCTAAGAAAAACTTAAGAGATATGGAAAATTTTTTTAAATATATTTTAAATTTTAAACTTAAATGTCGGTCACTAGAGGATCATTCATTGACAAAAAAATCAAAAAAAAAATCAAAAGACAAAACACAAAAAAAATCATTTACTTTTCTTCCTTGGGTTTAAGGTTATAAGATGTAAAATATGTTACATCTATGATTATTATCTTCTTTAGATCTTTGGTTAGTTTTTTGTGTGCTATTGGTGGTGGAATTGTGGAACCGCCGGCTTGGTGCCATTTTTTTTTCCTTTTTTTTCTTTAAAAATAAAATTAGTTTAGACTACCGATAGACATTAATCGCAAAAGTTATTAATCCTTTTTGTTATTTTAATTCCTGTATTCCCCTATTTAATCACTACTTCCACCCTTTACTATGTATATTATGGCATAAATTTTTTTTTTACGCATCTTTCTTTTTTATTGTATTGATTTACAACCCACTCACTTTTTTTCATTCTTTAATATATTTTTTTTCCAACTAGCTTGGAAGAACAAAAAAAAAAAAAAAAATATATTATTTTTTTTTTTTTAAAAAAAAATTCATTTTTCATCATTAACGTTAATTACAATTTCATTTTTTCATTTTTTTTTTTTAAAAAAAAAAAATTCAAAAAAAAAAAAAATATACAAATTTTTTTTTAAAAAAAAATTGCGATAAAACTTTCCTTTTTTTTTTTTTTTTTTTTTTTGTAAAAAAGTGTGTGGGGTTTTTTTTTTTTTCTATCTTCACCAATTTTTTGATTATTATTTATTTCTTTATTAAAAAAAAAAAAAAAAAAAAAAAAAAAAAATTACAATCTACTTTTATAACGTGTGGAAGTTTTTCTTAAAATGGAAAGAATTTTATTATTTAAATGAATGGATCCAAACAGTAAATTTTCAATTCGTGTACGCTGCGAAAAGGACGGTTGAAATTCTAAATTTCAAAAGATAATAATTTGGTGGGATGTTCAAAAAAAAAAAAAAAATTCCTGATATTTGAGAAAATTTATTTAGGAATCAATGGTTTTTTTTTTTTCCTCCCCTTTACGAATATTATTATATCATTATCATGATCCTGATCCTGATTCATTATCATAAAAAAAAAATACACCATTTGCTCAATTACTACATGATTACCCTCTACACAATAAATCAAAATCCCTCTTCCTTTTCCTTTTTTATTTTTTACTTCAACTTACACGTATAATGTATTTCATATTTAATTATTACCTTGTTTGTAAATATCATACACTTCATTTATATAGTTATACTATTATTATTATATATTAAAATTATTCTTTGTTTTTTTAAATAAAATATTTCGTGATGGATACATTGAAAACTATTGGCATTCTAATAAATACTAATTAGAGTGTATTCATCTCTTTGTTTTTACCTATATAGTTATTTTGTAATTATATTTTATATATCTAAAATTTTTCTTGTATGATTTAAAAAGATTCGACATATAAAAAATTGATCTCAATGATCTTGATCGAAAGAAAATTCTATTGAGATAGTAATCGAAAATCAATTTGATATTTAATGATTTTCGAATATTCTTCGAATATTTGAATTTTATTTATTTTGCAAAACAAATATTCGAAATATTCTATTTTCAAATTTGATAACCCTACCACATGAGTTCAAGCTGTCATATCACGTAATATCGCAGTTGAGTCTGTGTGTAAATCTAATATGGCAGTGTGCACATTTTATGATATCATATGTGCACAAAATAATATTAATGTGCATAATTTTTTTAAATATAGTAAATACACAATATGAGTATTATTAAACAGAGTAATTTTTTCCTAATCCATCATTCTCGTGCGACTCTTTTTTTATATGTATTTATATGTATTTTTTTTTTAGTCCCTCATGAAATCCCGATTAAAAGATCATCAAAACACGAAAGAAATACGTTTAAATAATAAATTTCAGTATTTGCGCCAAAAATTTCTCAGTCATTTAAAATTGATTTTCTTTTTCATCATTATTTTCACTACCTTCAATTGTTTTTAAATCAGAGTAAGTTTTAGGTGTAGATCGCGATATTAAAGGTAAAAATAGTTCATTATCCTCATGATTCTATTATTATATTAAAAAAATATAAATATGTTAATATTTATTATTTTAAAATAAAAATTAGTTTTAATTAAGTAAACATTAGAACTACTTCTTTTATAGCCTCTTCTTCATCTTTAAAAATATCACGAAGTTCTTTATACACAATATTCTTTGTTAACTCAATTATAAATCGTAAATTTTTAAATTGCAGATCTAATACACAGGCTATTATATTAATAGTTACAGATGTTTTCTAATATTTTAACATACTCTCATACATTGTTTGTTTTATTTCTTCTACTTTGAAAGTCTATAGAATTAAAAATATCCATTTTATTTTTATTTTTACTATTTTCATTAGAAATTTCAATAAAATCCTCATTATCTTTTATAATCTTTTTTATATTTTCATCATCATTATCTAATTCACCTTCAATTTCAGTAATTAAGAATTTATTATTTGGTTGAGTTTCATATATAAATTGAGATATAGTAGAAAATATAAGTGATATTGTAATATATTTAGATCCACTAAATAATACCATTGCTTCTTTAAATCCTTATAATAAATTAACAAGATTGTTTAATAGTTTCTATTCATCCTTTGTAAGCATTATTTATTATAGTTTTTGACAATTTTTTTTAGCATCTAGATTAAAATCAAATTGTAAACGACTGAGTAGAAAAAATTATTACTTGTTTAAACCTTAATAATCATTTTCAAACATAAAATGAAGAATTCCACTAAATAGAAATATCTCCAGTTACTAAAATAATATTTGTATAATTAAATTCCTTTTATACTGCATTTAATTTTCTAATTATTTAGGTAATATATAAAAAAATTCAATAAGCTACTTAACTCATAAAATGAATACTTTGATGTATTTAATTCTTTACTAATTATTAATTGAAATGAGTAGGGATATTTTGGGGGTCCTAGGGTCAAAAAAAATTTCGAATAGCTATACAAATATTATGAAACCTCCCAGCTTCTTTCCCGACATACGAAATTTTGAAATCTTTATTAAACCCCAAATTAGCCTACAAGACCAGGGAACATATCAAATTTCAAAATTATTACAAAAGGTATCCAGAATGCTCCCAATCATATATCCGAAGCTCTTCTAGCAATACGAATCCATAATATGGAATTCATACTAAAAAACGAGTTAGGGCTTAAATTTAGTTAACATATCTCCTTATTCAAATTTTAAGTTTCCAAGACTAAGACGTATACCATCTTTGTTAACACGCTGGCCTCTTTTTAATCTCAAAATAATATAACAAAAAAGTATGCAATTCAGCTTGCCCCTAAAAAAGAACAGCGAGCACCGAGGACCGAAGTGTCTGAGTATGTTCGCGGTTCCCCCCAAGCAAGCCTAATTAGCATACCATTTTTTATGTTATCCTAGAATTAATTCTAAAACTGATTCATTATCATCTAG